AAAATAATTTGTGGTTTATACTTTTATAAAATTATTTTATATTTATGAAAATAACTTAAGAAAATTATTTTATATTGTTGGATATTTTAATTATTAGATTTTAGGAAGAATGTAAGCAAGAAATAATAAAAAGAACTAAAAGAAAATTAAGACGGAGTGAGAGAGGCAAAAGATGTGTGATTTATAATCTAAAAAATTCAGTGAAAAGAAATTTAGTTGAAAAGAGAAATGAAAAGTCGATGGAAGAGAAAGAAGGAAAGAGAAAATAACTTTTAGTGGCAAAACTGTACATAAATGGATTTATGAGTGATAAATGAGTCTGTCCAAAATGTGATACCGAGTTAAATGTCAATTTTTCTAATAGTGAATAGGGAAAGTACTAGAATCCCTATATTTTTTTGAAAATGTACTAAAACACATATTATCAAACAATATATATTTCATGTTTTGTTATATGTCTCTAGATATCGTTCACTATTTTTGCACTATCTAAAGATGAATGCAAACATGATCTTGCCGATATTTGTAGCTGTTATGCTGCAAATTGTGTTGTCGATCATGGCCATATATGCTGAATTTTACAGGAACTTTGATTTGACTCCTATAGTCTTGCTGAGAGAATGGTTGTGGCTTATGCAATTGTCACACCGCTTTCCCTTATTTTAGAGAGGTAAGAATTTCTAGTTTTTAGGTCTTATCTATGTTTTTGGTTAGAAATCAAATATTTGGGTTTGAGGACGTTGCTATTAGCATTTGTGGTGGGAAGGAAAAATTGTCCGGGACCTTTCTAGTTGTACTAGGATCGTTGAATGTCTTATCGTTGTGAAAGATGCAAATAGGATAACTATGCATACTTTGTATAAAGCAAAATGCAAGCAAAACATAAAGAAAACATAAGCATACAAGAATAGTTAAAAGGCAAAAATAAAAATTGTGGGTTCAAAGACAGTAAAAAATACTTTCATTTGTTTACATTATTTATCAGCTGTGTTTAATAATTGTATTCTTCATCAATTCTACCTCTTTGTTTTGGGTTTACTAACTTAAATTTCAATTAACCGTAAGTACTAATAGAGATATATATATAACATTCCAAATAGATTTAATATAAAGTTCAATACAATATGTAATGCCAAAATAAATTCTCTAGTTGTTTCATGAGACCGTATCTCTCATCTCCTATCGTATTTGTTTTTTTTTTTTTTGACAATAGGCTTAATTAATTCTTAGGGATATGATTTAATTTGGCTAGGATATATTTTTCATGCGTTATGTAAAGTTAGCAATGTATATAGTAACCCTGTTTAAAAGATCTCCCCCTAACTCCGATTATACCCTGTGAAATCACCGGGCCTATCATATTCATTTTTATTAAATAAATAAATATATATATATATATACTCTTTCGTCGTTGATTAAAATCATTTAGATTAAAATTTGTGACTTTGTTTAAAATAATTTATGTTTAAAATTTTAATGAAAATCATAAATTAGTTTTAAAAATCTGTTTTCATTTATTCATACAATTTTGAAACCAATATTTTTGTTTTGTATGTTATATTGTATTTTTTTATTAACAGATTCGAACTATACATAGTTTTACCATATATTTCTTATTTGTTTCTATAAATTTAATAAAATCACCGTAAAACTAGTCTGCATAAATATTTTTTACCAGAGTCAAATCTATTACCGTAACACTAGTCTCCATAAATATTTTTTACTAGAGTCAAATCTATTACCGTAAAACTAGTCTCCATAAATATTTTTTACCAGAGTCAAATCATTTCTCCAAAATGTTTCTATATAAACTAATTGTTTTAAATATTCTTAAGATGATAACTAATCTTTTTTAACTCATAAATTAAACTAATCATAAATAAAGATCGTAGCATACAATATGAGCATCGACAAGGAGAGGAAATTGATGGGTGATATGTCTATTCAAAATTGTGAGAGATAAAATGTTCAATTTTGTTCTCTAAATTAGTCTCTCACAATTTTTTAAAAATGTATTCGCTAATTAACTTGTTGTTATTAAGAATTAAATTATATAAATTACGTAGATGGTAAATTCTTTTTGGACAAAAGCACAACGTTCTCTAAAACGACCATCAGGAGAAATGACAAAACCATCTTGACTTGTTCTCTAGAAACGACCATTATGACCGGACCGGTAATGTCATGGTAATTTGGTTTCTTGCAGCGACTTTGGAATAATCAAAGTCTACGTCTTCAATAAGGTTGATTAAGGAAACCATGACATTTCATAAGAAATAATCCGACAGTGACATTTCACTAAAAGCTCAAGACCATAGTGACATTAATTTTGAGAAAAAACAAATTGACAACTTTTCAACGTATCATGGACATTAACGTGACATAAGAGAAAAGATTCGGACTTATACATCTTAGTCATTCTTATTCTTATTTTTTCTTAATTATAGGAGCTTTCTCGATGAGTAGTTTGTGTTTTAGTTAGTTAGGTTTTCTGGTACCAACTAAACTTTTAGTACTTAGTTGTAATTACTATAAACCTTACAAGAATTATTAATAAGACCTAACTAATACTCCTTCCGTTTCTTTTTATCTCTAAATTTGTTTCATTTTAAGTGATGTTTTTAATTCTATGTTAAAATTAAATGTATTTAATATTTTTTAACCAATCACTTTACATCATCTTTTTTATTGGTTAAATTCATTTTAGTTAATGATGTTTTTATGGAAAATGAGTAAATTACATGTTTTTAAAAATCTGTGTATATAAACCTTAAACGATCACTTAACTTGAAACGGAGGGAGAAAGAATTTCTTTTAATATTGACATTTCGAATCATTCCAAATTCGTTAAGTTTGACTCTAATTGAGTATGAATGCAAGGAAATGTATAATTTTGTCTGAAAAAAAAAACTTATGAAAACTAAAGAAAAGACCTTTTTTACCTTTTAAATCATTTTGTTGCTTATAATTGCTATTAATCTATATTAACATTTTTGAAATACCTTTTGTGTTCTACCCTTTTATTTTGTAATATTTTCATAATTAAATCCTTACCATTTGATTAAATAGCAAAAGCTTAAGGTACATTTTGTAAATAAAACATAATAAAATTGCAAAATTAGAAATCAATATTTATTACATTTAACAAAATTTACTAAAATCTCTCCCTAATAAATCAAATATTTCTCCAGCATTTTTATACGATCTTATTTGCTTTTAAATTTATATTATTACATAAAACATATGTATGATAAAAATATAAATTTTTCTTTGCATATGTTGCAATTTGAATTTTTTTAAACGGATGTATAATGCTCAAACGATACAAAAATGGATGTTCTAAAGTATTATTGATAATTGTGTAGCACGGATCATGTGATGGAGCGGGTTATAATTTACATAATTATGATTATAAATATTTTTACGGGTTTTCTACTATAGTATAACTCACAAAATATTTTAATATGAAATTATACTATGTAAACGAAAAATATTATGCAATATCATTTCATTATTTAATATTAAATTTATTTAATTAATTTGATCAAATTACAATTATATATAAAAACAATTATCATATAATATTCTACGGGTTAAATCATGGAATTAACAATCAAAATATAGTATCAAACTCTTATATACCAAACAAATTTAATAAAAAAATACATTTTAAAATGTCGTCCGCGGTGTACCGCGGGTCAAAATCTAGTTAGATATTAGTATAGTAAAGTTAAGTTTATGGGATCAAGATCACGATTAGTTCATTTGTTAGAGTTACACCAATTTAGATACACTAAAAATAACCAAACGTGAAACATCAATTTACATACACTCAAGATAACACAATTGACTAAAAAGACTTTTGAGACTATATATGGAATAATCAAAGTCTTCGGATTATGATATTTCACTAGCTAGTCCATGTCGACTGATTCTTGAGTAATGTTTTATGCCCTCTCATACCTTATCTATGAAAGATTGACATATTATAAGAAAAGTAAAAATATATTATTTAAAGGTGGCTAAGAGAAGTCTTAAGGTCCTTTCGTTTTACATGCTTCATCCAAATTTAAATTTACGTATACAGTATCCAAATGTTATTCAATTTATTGAATTGTCTTGTTAATAATTGCATGTGGATATGTGGTTTATTCGTTTGAAAAGAAAACATATTTTATATAACATAATTTTAATGACTTTGATTTTTTATTATTATTGACCTAATTATTATTTAAATTTTCTAGAAATAAACGGCAGAGTTTTTAAATAAAAATATTAATCAAATTTAGTTTGTTACTTAAATTCTTGTTAATATATAAATTAGGAAAATATTTTTTTACAAATAAAATGTAAATGAAAATAAAATAAATAACCAATACTTGATTTATGAGAATTTTTGAGAAATGCCCCTTTTGGTGTACCATTTTTTAAAAATACCCCTTTTCAAATATGAAAAATTATAAACTTTTATATGGTTGATAAGGTATATCAAGATCATCATTACTACATGGAGACTAAACCCAAATATTTATAAGATTTTAAAAGGTTCTAAACGGCATTAATAAGGTTTTTATAAGGTTTTTAAAAGGTTTACAAAGTTTTTATAAGGTTTTTATATGGTTTTTAAAAGGTATTTATTCGGTATTTATGAAATATATATGTAAATTACACACTTATAAAGATAATTTGTGTCTATAAATATATGCTTACACATATTTTTTTGATAAATTTTAAAATTTATAGTGACTTTTGGATAAAATTAGAAAGAGAGATATTTTTAAAAAGTGGTATTGAAAAAGGAGTAATTTTGAAATTCCCCAAATTGTAGTGTCATAACACTAAAGAGAATATTACGATTCTTCGAATCAACGATTTGTTAGAAAAATCTGGTAACAAAACCGAACTGAATTGGTTTAAAACCTGAACGAAATTCAAATGTTTCTAGCGAATTGTTCAACAGAATTCGAACCGAACCAAAAACCGAAATGTATACCCAAAAATCCGAATTAAAATTATATATTCAAAAGTATTAGTTACAATATTAACCAATCAGATTTTCGGTTTGATATGGCATTGGACGAAGCACAACAAATATGCATTGGACTATACGTTGGGATTTAAATGGTAATCTCAGCTCTTATTTGGATAATTTAATATTGAATACACATCGCATATGATGCTCTTAATTGAAATACATATACACGTCCTACGTGATTTAAATGTGTGTGTATTTGTATGCATCATGATCACACATTAGTAAGGCTTCTCCCCCACATAGTTCCCTGGAGGATCATAGTTGCAACTGATGATGGTTCCACCATTATTACACCTCACTTTAGCACATCCAATTCTCACTGACTTTCTCCAAACAACCTGAGTGTAGTGACGACATTCTCTGTTGCATGTGTTCGAAACGGGGTTATACTCAGCCTTCTCGTTAACCCACAAGTTCACGGCGTCCACACCAGAAAAGTCGCCACTATTCCCTCCCCCGGCCAAGTTCTCCCCATAAGGCCCGCCCGAGTGTACGGAATTACAGTCGCCTTTTAGTCGGTCCACGTAGCTCCGAGCGTAGGCTGCAATCCCCTCGTCCCACTGCATAGGGCCTACGCCTACCTGCGCTCGTGCCTGGTTGTGAGCATTTACATAGTCTTGTGGGCTGTCTTGAGCCTTTGATGGAACAACTAGAACACCTACAAGAGCTGCCAAGATTATTAGAATGTGAGAAGAATAGCTAATGAAATTCATTTTCAAGATTATAATGCTTTTTTTTTGTGTTATGGTTTTAATGTTCAGAGACATGGTTTATATAGAGATTTGAAAATCTATCTAAGATTTTGTGTGGCCATAAAAGAAGTAAACAAAAGTCTTGCGTAACAAAATCTTTTAAATCCTTCCAAGGATGGCATGGATGATGTCCACCAGCCACAACAACGCTAGGAGCTGCACTGAGGATCGACGGTCGATTGAGAGATCGACGGTCGAGATGATTGCTCGAATATGGAAATTTGGGAGAATCTAGATCCTCTTATTTAGGATATTTACCTTTATCTAGAAATGTATTATTTACATTAGTCATTATTTTAGTTTAGGAAATTATGTTTACTCCTATCACTATATATATTGATGTATTATCTAGCATTATATTTATGAGAGTCTAGTGTATAATTATTCCTCTAAACATTTTTGTGTTCTTTACTCTCATCAATTTATCATGGTATCAAGGGTTAGGATTTCTCGTTCTTCCGCTTCTATAATTTTCTAATGGCTTTTCTTTTGTTTTGATTTTTGTCTATTCATTCATTTAACAAAACAAAAAAAAAACTGAGAAAAAAAAAGAAGAAGAGGGGGACGTGATATCTCCTCTTGGTGGTCAATGATCTGCCAATTTGATTTGTTCGAAGGTATTGGATTATAAACATGAATATATTTATTGATTTGTTCAGTTGATGTTCTTTTTGCCCTCGCGATTAACATCCTTTTGTTCTGACATCTTACTCTCGTGACTTGTTTTCGCAATCGCGAATTATTCATGGACATCGCAATCGCGAGTTTTGTCATTGACTACTCGAGGAATCCTATGATCGGGTATAAACGTCGTTAATGATCCGACGGCCGGATTTTACAGCCGCTTTGACCCCACGATCGGAAATAAATGTCGATGATAACTTGACGGTCGAGTATAAAGCCGCTATTTTGAAGACTTGTCCAATCTCACACATGTTACCACGTATGAGCTTGACGCGGGGTATTGGGAGATGGAGAACCGGAGATCGGTTGAGAGATCGACGGTCGAGATGATTGCTCAAGAATATGGAAATGATGAAGATGTGGGAAAATCTAGATACTCTTATTTAGGATATTTACTTAGTCTAGAAATGTATTATTTACATTAGTCATTATCTTAGTTTAAGAAATTAGGTTTACTCCTATCACTATATATCTTTTTTTTCCTATCACTATATATCTATCAATGTATTATGTAACATTATATTTATGAGAGTTTAATATAATTTTTCCTCTAAACACGTTTGTATTCTTTTTACTCTCATCAATTTATCACGAATCAACCGATCCATCAACGCACAAAAAGCGTCCATAAGATACTTTGGAATCGATAGATCCATCATCCATCAACACACAAACATCTTCGTCGAGAGCTGTGTTTGTTTTTCTTTTTTCTGCTTGAAGTGTAATTAGTTAATAAATATTGGTATAATAAAATGTCACGTCCTAAAACTGACGTCTATTAATATTTCGCGTCGGTTAAATAAGTGACTTAGTCACTTAGATATACTGACGTCTCCAAGCATGTTTTTTGTAGTGGTAGTAGATGAGAGATACGGTCTTATGAAACAACTAGAGAATTTATTAGAGAAAGATAGATAAGAACGGAATCAACAAAGCTAGCTATAGAGTATCAACGAAGTTACCAATTGGAAGTTAACGTAAAATCTATATTAACATTTTTGAAGTATCTTTTGTGTTCTATACTTTTATTTTCTAATATTTTCATAATTAAATATTTACCATTTGATTAAATAGCAAAAGTGTAAGGTACATTTTGTTAATAAAACATAATAAAATTGCAAAATTAGAAATTAATATTTATTACATTTAACGAAATTTCCTAAAATCTCTCCCTAATAAATCAAATATTTCTCCAACATTTTTATATGATCTTATTTGCTTTTAAATTTATATTATTACATAAAACATATGTATGATAAAAATATAAATTTTTCTTTGCATAAGTTGCAATTTGAATTTTTCAAAACGGATGTATAATGCTCAAACGATACAAAAATGAAAGTTCTAAAGTATTATCGATAATTGTGTAGCACGGATCATGTGATGGAGCAGATTTATGATTATAAATATTTTTACGGGTTGTGTATTATAGTATAACTCATAAATTTTTAATATGAAATTATACTATGTAAACGAAAAATATTATGCAATAACATTTCATTATTTTAATATTAGTTTCATTTAATTAATTTAATCAATTTACAATTATATATATATAAAATTATCGTATAATATTCTACGGGTTAAATCATGGAATTAAAAATCAAAATATAGTAGCAAACTCTTATATACCAAACAAATTTAATAAAAAAATACATTTTAAAATGTCGTCCCGCGGGTCAAAATCTAGTATTATACATAATAGAGCTCGCTCATAGCACAATTGATGCAGCGAGATATTTGAAATATTTCCAAATATTCTCAAATATCTTTAGTTATTATCTTTAGCTAATTATTTATTATTATTCTAGAATATTCCAAGTATTAGGGTTTTAAGGTTTATTATAAAGGGGGAATTTCAAAAATACCCCTTTCCCAATACCACTTTTTAAAAATACCCCTCTTTCTAATTTTATCAAAAAGTCACAATAAAAATTGAAATTTATCAAAAAAATATGCATAAACTTATATTTATAGACACAAATTATCTTTACATGTGTGTAAATTTATATATATATTTCATAAGTACCGTATAAATACTTTTTAAAAATTATATAAAAAGCTTATAAAAACTGTGTAAACCTTTTAAAAACCTTATAAAAACCATATAATTGTCGTTTAGAACCTTTTAAAACCTTTTAAATATTTAGATTTAGTCTTCCAGTAGTAATGATGATCTTGATGTACCTTATCAAACATATAAAAGTTTATAATTTTTCATATTTGAAAAAGGGTATTTTTGAAAATGAATAGAAAAGAGGGGTATTTTTAAAAAGGGGTACACCAAAAAGGGTATTTCTCAAAAATTCTCTATTATAAATAGAGACTTTTAGGAAAATTTGTAATTTAGTTTTATGATTGATATTGATTTTGATTAATAAAGTTGAGAGGTTTCTCCTTTATAAACGAGCTTTCGGGCACGGGGAAGAGTATTTCCAACCTATCTAACGAGCTTTCGGGCACGGGAAAGAGTATTCCCAAATTTATCCTTTTTATCGCTTCCGCCTCTCTATCAACAATTATACGTAACAATAAATAAAACATAAACATAAGCTGGAGAGAAACAATAACACAAACATCTGGGACTTGTACTAGTAATTTTTCATCAAGCTCACATAGGGAAACAAGTAACAGGTAGAGAATTAATTAGAGAAAGACAAGAACACGATCAACGAAAAAGCTTACAAACAAATTTTCGATTCCATTTGTCCCAACAAAGCCCGATCACATCGTCTTTGTTGAGACATTTGGCGTTACCCCTCTCCCAAGTAGTAGCGATCCTCCACATTTTAAAGGACACTTCCATATCTAGGATAAGATCTTCTCACATACCCGCTTCAAGCTCGATTTTTGGTATAATGACCCAACCACATTGCTGACATCGTCATATTAAATCTATTTGGAATGTTAAATATATATATTAGTATTTACAGTTAATTGAAATTTAAGTTAGTTCTTAGTAAACCCAAAAAAAGAAGAGGTAGAATGATGAAGAATATAATTATTAGACACAAATGATAAACAATGTAAACAAATGAAAATAATTTTAACTGTCTTTGAACCCACAATTTTTGTTTTTGCCATTTTATTATTCTTGTATGCTTATGTTTTCTTTATGTTTTGCTTATGTTTTACTTATATTTTGCTTTATATAAAGTATGCATAGTTATCCTATTTGCATCTTTTACAACTATAACACATTCAACCACTATATGTCGTCGTTAAAAACCTATATATATATATATATATATATATATGATAACTATTTTTTCCAAAATATTTTATATAAACTAATTTTTTTTAATTAAGATGATAAAATATTTTGATAATAATAATAACAATATTAAAAATAAATCATTAGGAAACATGCTTAATCACATATTATCAATATGCAAAACGTTTCAAATCAAATTACATGGCTCAAATTGTTTTGGATTTATATGAAAGTATATGCCTATTTGGTGTTAACTTTACATGTTTGGTTAACTATCTAAATCCATAGAAATTTTTTTTTAAGTACTTCAAACAGAAATAAATGCATTATAAGAGATAAAATAATTAATAACTAATCATATTTATAATTATATTTATAAAACATAAACTGAAGTTAAAGGTGCATTCAATCAACTCAAAAATCTAAAAGAACGTTTTATGCAAACTGTAAACATATGTTCTGAGTAAGATACAGTATTATATTATTTTTTAAGAAACATTTGGTCCCAAAATAAATTTGACAACAAACAAAAGAAAAAAATATAAGTAATTGTATATTAACATTTTTGAAGTACATTTGGGTTATAATTTCGTAATAACTGCATATTAAGCTTTTGACATTTGAATAAATAACAAAATTTTAGGGTAAATTTTGTAATTAAATCACACCAAAATTGCAAAATTCGAAACCAATATTTGTAAGAAATGTTTCTTGATATCTCTCCCTGATAAATCAAAAATACTATTTTCCATTTTCCTCCTCTCAAATATTTCTCCAATATCTTTATTATATATATAAATTTATTAGATTTTAAATTTATTTTATTATAAAACATATGTATGATAAAAAATACAAATTTGTTTTTGCATATGCATGTATATCACTCAATAAATAAAAGAAAAAATGTATATACAACATCCCACATCAGGTAAAATATTTTAGAAAATGGTTTAGAACCATTATAAATATGTCTAATATTCTTCCAGTTACAAATGAGCAAGAAACTTTATTTCTCAGACGTCGAAATTTAAAATTTTAATTCGGTTTAATTCGGTTGTTTATTTGAGAAAATTAAAACTATATAAAAAAAACTATTATAAGTTTTAATATTTGTAAAGTTTAAATTATTATAAATATCTAAACTTTTAATCAATCAATCAACACACATACAACGCATGGTTTAGTAATCCTCAACACAAAACACATAATTCAATGTAGTCCCTATAAATCAAATTCTAACATCCTATAATCGACCATGCTCTCATACCAAATTAAAATAACTCAACCCAATTTATTTAATTTACTAATTAATAGTCTTATACCTACTACTTAACCATACCAAATTAAACTAGACATTAACAAGTGGAAATAAACCAATAAACTCCAATAAATATAATTAACCAAAAATTATTCAACAACCAACATCAACCAAGGCAATATCCAACAAATCCTAACATGCTTTTAACTATGGTTCTAGAAACAATAATTTTATAACCCCCCACTGTCACCTCTCTTAATGGGCCTCACATCCTCTTATTAGACCTGCGAGCCCATCCATATCTGATGGCCGGTTTGATACGTCCAGGAGGCTTAAAGACTTATTTACTGACCTTAAAAATCACCACATGATCTTTCCTTGTGTTTTGGCCTAACTCACAATTCTGACAATGACTTTCTTGAAGGTCACCCATCCTTCGACTACTCCAGCATAAGCACGCTTTACTGTGAAGTTCTTCGAAGACCCTTGACCGAAAAGATAAGTGCACTTTGGTGACATACGTGGCCAAATCAACTCATTTAAACTTCTCCACAAACTGGGGTCTTACAAATTAAAACATAATACCACTTAGTGATTATAGATCTTCACCCTCGTCGTTGCAACGATTCCACGATCGCACCATCTCTATACTTGCACCACAAGAAAAGAGAAGTGTGAGTATTATCACAAATACTCAATTATACGGTCCTCTCATCTACTATGCTATACAGAAAAGCATAGTAAACCAACCAACTTGCATGAATACAAGTAAAACTACCAAAACAAGCCCGAAAAGAAACGAACAGCTCTCTGTCTAGCACATGTGTTGATCGTCACCTCAAAATCATTTGTCGGTCTCGACTGACACCCGCCTAGTCTTGATTGACACTGACTCCTCACCATTGGTGGTGTAACCGACACCCACCTCTTCAAAACTTCTAGAAACGCCTCTTGTCGCTCCGTGACAACAAATCCAAGCTCAAAACTCGACCACATTGAACCATGACCATGAAACATGCAATACACAACACCAAAACACACACAGATAGAAACACAAACACAATCATGGCCATCTACACAATCAAAACACACATCAGAAGGTTCACAAGCTTAGATCAGCCAGAATCATGCTTTCACCTCTGATTCAGATTGATTAAAGACGAATAACAGAGAAGAATAACAGTACAACAACCTCTCCTCACACAACCAGCTGCGAACTTAACCCCCCCCCCCTCTTGATTAAACACCCAAGATTCAATCTACGAAACCTTCTAAAAACCTTCTAAAATTCTCCTTAAACAAACCAACTCACAGCTCTCTCTCTCTTTTGCTTTCAAAAAACGACAAAAGTCAAAAGTGAGAATAAGTGGTTGCTCCTCGAGTTTTTATACGATTTAAGGTTTCCTTCAAATTAATTTTAGTTAAACTGACGACTTTACTAAACCGCTTATCCCAAAATCACCGGTGTCGATCGACACCAACTTTTGTTGTCAATTGATGATGCCCATTTCTGGACACGGACATAACACTAAGTTACAACTATGCATCTTAGAAATTGGTAAGAAATTTATGCTATTGTATTAAAAAAATTTAATACTTTCATCTAACCAAAAATATACACTACATGATTTACCACTAAAGATCAAGATCAAAAGTAGCTTGAATACAACGAGTTAGTGCAAGTCTTCCGAATGGCTAGAAATAGATACGAGACTGGAACAACTGAAAATTACTTAAGAAATGAAATTAATAAGAGATAGTACCATCCACAAGGAGAGGAAACTGATGGGATGATGATGTGATATGTCTATCCACAATTGTGAGAGATAAAATGTTCAAATTTTGTTCTCTAAATTAGTACTCTCTAACATTTTTTCTAATGTATTCGCTAATTATCTTATTGTATTCGTTTTCTTAGACTACAATTATATAAAAAAAACAATTACCTAGATGTTAAATTCTTTTTGGACTAAAGCACAACGTTCTCTAAAACGACCGTCAGGAAAAATGACAAAGCCATCTTGACTTGTTCTCTACAAACGACCATTATGACCGGACCGGTAATGTCATGGTAATTTGGTTTCTTGCAACGACTTTGGAATAATCAAAGTCTAAAAGTCTTCAATAAGGTTAATTAAGCAAACCATGAAATTTCATAAGAAATAATCCGACAGTGGTACACTAAAAGCTCAAGACCATAGCGACATTTTTGAGAAAAACCAAAATTGACAACTTTTCAACGTAGCATGGAATCAATTTGCATACGGGGACCTATAAGAGATGTATAACGTGACATAAGAGAAAAGATTCGGAGCTTTCTCCATGAGTAGTTTGTGTTTTAGTTAACTAAACTTTTAGTACTTAGTTATAATTACTATGAACATTATAAGAATTATTAATAAGACCTAATTAATAAGAATTTCTTTTAATTTTGGCATTTCGAACCTTTCCCAATTCGTTAAGTTTGCCTCTAATTAAAGTAAGAATGCAAGGAAATGTATAATTTTGTCAAAAAAAACTTATGAGAAGAAAAGTTCATTTGTTTTTACTTTCTATATTATATTGTTATTAATTAGATATTAGACTTATTAATACATTAGTCTTTTTTATGGTATATGAAATCAAGATCACTATTGGTTCATTTGTTAGAATTACATCAATTTACATACACTCAAGGTAACACAATTGACTAAAAAGACTTTTGAGACTATATACAGAATAATCAAAGTCTTCGGAAATATGATATTTCATTGGTCCATGTCGACTGATTCTGAAATATTGTTTTATGCCCTCTCAAATCTTATCTATATAATATAAGAAAAGTTAAAAGATATTGAAGGTGACTGCTAAGAGAAGTCGTAAGGTCCCTTTCGTTTTACATGCTTCATCCAAATTTAAATTCACGTGTACAAAAATCTCCAAATGTTATTAATTTTATTGAATTGTCTTTTCTTGTTAATAATTACATGTGGATGTGTGGTTTATTCGTTTGAAAAGAAAATAGAGATGCAATTAACTATATTTTTTTTTATTAATCTATATTTTATACAGTATAACATTATTTAATGACATTATTAAAAGGATGTATATCAGTTTCTGCTAATTTGAAAAGTAGGAGCATAAATTGTGGTCCAACTTGTACTAGATGTACAGCCCAGGTGAAAACAGTGAACCATGCTATTTTTGTATGTCCACCGGCAAGACAATCTTGGGCACTGGCTCATGTCCCTCCGGGTTCTGTTCAGTTCCCCATATACTCTATTTATGCTAATATGGATTACCTTCTTCGGCTATTGTTAGTCGATGGGCAAGCTGAGTTCTTTCCATGGTTATTGTGGTATATTTAGAAGGCGCGAAATGCTAAAGTGTTTAAAAATGAGGATCAGTGCTCCCAAGAGGTTACTAGAGTGGCACAGGCGGAAGCGGAGACTTGGCATGGGGCTCAAGTTGAGGAAATTGGCTCTTGTCCCGAGGTTTCGGTGTTGCATTCTCTTGACAGACGAAGGACGACTATATTACCTTCTTTATTTACAGATACAGGTGTTTTTTAGATGGATCATGGAAGGATCTAGATAAAAATTTCGGGTTAGGATGGTTCTGTCAACATTCTCATGATGGCTCCACTCCATTCAGAGGTACAAGCACTGCAGTGGGCGATGGATGCATGAAAAAACATGATTTCAGAGATGTGGCTTTTCTTACCGACTGTTCAGACTTGGTGTAGATGGTGTCTTTGCCTTCCGAGTGGCCGGCTTTCTTTGTATACATGGATGACATCAAGATTGATAGTGAAGAATTCTCAACTTTTTCTTTATCACTTATTCCAAGAAATGCAAATGTAAAAGCGGATAGTTTGGCACGTAATGTGCGTGCCTGCCCGCATATTGTCAAGTTTGTAAACAATTGTCCCACAAATTAGCTTATCTAAGTCAATCTATTGAGTTTTGATGACCCAAAAAAAAACATTATTTAATAACTATTTTTTTTACTTATAGATTATTGATTTATTTATTACATGAACTTATATGAAATCTCTGACAGAGCTTTTTGAATTAAAATATTAATCAAATTTAGTTTCTAGTTGCTATTTTTTTATTTAATATATAAATTAGGAAAATAGTTTTTTCCAAATAAAATGTTAATGAAAAAAAAGTTAACATATGGAATCTTCATTTGAAAAGGATCAATTGCAAAGTTTTAGCATGCATAAGTTAATATTTTTGTTAGAAAAATCCGGTTCCGAGAACAAACCAAAAAGTTTTAAAACCTTTACAAACTCTAAATATTTCTCTCTTAATTGTTCAACCGAATCCGAACCGAACCAAAAACCGAGAAATATACCCAAAAAACCAAAAGAATATTAATATATCTTAGTGATAATTTTAACCAAATAAGATTTTCTGTTTGATAAGCACATCAAACTTTGAGTAATGATTTATCCTGAACGGCTATGGTCATATACTCTTAATCTCAGCTCTCTTATTTGCATTACTTAATAAATATTGATACACATCGCATATGAAGCTCCTTATACATTAAAATACATATACACGTCCTATGTCTTATACGTGTATACGCAACATTGTCACACATTAGTAAGGCTTCTGACCATTATAGTTCCCTCGAGGATAATAGTTGCAACTAATGATGTTTCCTCCATTATCACACCTCACTCTAGCACATCCCACTTTCACTGAGTTTCTCCAAACAACCTGAGTGTAGTGACTGCAAACCGCATTGCACGTGTTCGCAGCGTAGTTGTAGCTAAACCTCTCGTTAACCCAAATGTTCACAGCAAGGGCCGCAGAGAAAACGCCGTTACTCTTGGCCATGTTCTCCCCATAATGCCCACTCGAGGGTACGAGTCTGCAGCTGCCTCTTAGTCGGTACACGTTGCTTAGAGCGTAGGCTGCAATGGTATCATCCCACTGTATCGGGCCAACGCCTACAGCTGCTCGTGCCTGGTTGTGAGCATTTACATAGTCTTGTGGGCTGTATTGAGCCTTGGATGGAACAACTAGAACACCTACAAGAACTGCCAAGATTATTAGAATGCGAGAATAGCTAATTAAATTCATTTTCAAGATTATAATGGTTTTTTTTTTTTGTGTTATGGTTTCAGTGTTCGTAGCTAGACATGGTTTATATATTGAGCTTTTAAAACTTATCTAACATTTTGTGTGGCTATAAAAGAAATAAACAAAAGTCTTTACTGCTTTCACCATATTATCCTAAAAATTCAGTAACAAAAATAAAACAAAATAGTTATACCAAAATTTGAGAAAATACTTATGGTTTCAGTGTTCGTAGCTAGACATGGTTTATATATTGAGATTTGAAAAACTATCTAACATTTTGTGTGGCTATAAAAGAAAGAAACAAAAGTCTTTACTGCTTTTACCATATTATCCTAAAAATTCAGACACAAAAACTAAATGAGGTAGACAAAAATATAACAAAATAGTTATACCAAAATTGAAACGCTTCAAACGCTTATATATCTCCTTTATTATAAATCAATCTTTACAACATAAATCTGATGACTACGGTGAGCTATGAAATTATATGCTCTTGTAACTATCTTCTTTGTCAACTACACAGTCATTGAAAAAATTAATCCCTAACCCAATGAGGTGGAAATTGTTTTACAAAAGTTACTTTTGTAGCAAATAATCTGGATTAACAAGCAAGACAACCCGTTTTAAAGTTACAAAAACGATAAATCGTGGCTCGAAAAAACCCTAATTCGTGTAAGATATAAGATAAGATTGACACTCTGTGGGGTTGCACCATCGCTACTAGTTCTTTACTACCTGTCTTGAAAACCTGGCAATTGATTATTTTGTATTTATTTTCTCCATGACCCACATCCCATTTACAAGTGTAAGAGAGAGGAACTTCCTTAATGACATTTAGCTCCCAACCCAGACCTGTAATAGGTTTCAAAGAATTTTCACAGTCCATCAATCCTACAGCTTAGAGTATTTGAATAATCAATTAGGCTTCCATGGATTCATTTATCTTATATTGATTGGATTGAGCTTCTCCCGTTATATATGTTCACGTAGCGAATGGCTTTTTTTTTTGGAAATACATGAATAGATAGGTGTATACGGATTCCAAATGTACCACTTAGACCACCAATAATGGTGGTCTTATACACCTATCTATTCATGTATTTCCAAAAAAAAAGCCATGATGATGTGTCAACTTCATGTGAGCTCGCTCCCTTTTAACCATGATATTTGGAAATTTATATAGAATGCCATTTTCAAAACTCAATCTTTAAAAACTGCCATTTTCCATTTTGTAATTTCTCAAATACCACATTCATTTTTATGGTAAAATAAAAAAGACAAAAATGCCTTTAAAGAAAGAGACAACAAATTCTGGCATGAGACAACTATAGACATTAATTAATAGACAAGTTTTTTTTTTGTCGACACTCTTTGCTTATTGTCCAAACTCGATCATGGACAATTTTTTTTGGTATATCTATCTTACATATGTATTATGGACAAGTCTGTTCTACCGACTCTGGTCCACCAAATCTGGTCCATCGGAACTGTTTATGATCTGCTGAAACTTCTTCGCCAGATTTGATTCACGGCAACTTTTTATCATCTGCCCGAACTGGTTTGCCGGATCTGGTCCTCCGCAATTCGAAACTAGTTTGTCGAGGCTGATTATGCTACACCAAAACTGGTTATGGTCTGTCGAAACTGGTTTGTCGGATCTAGTCCGTTGAAACTGGTTATGGTCCGCTGGAACTGTTATGGTCTGTCGAACTGTTATGGTCTGTCGAAATTAGTCCGTCAAAACTAGTCTGCCGAAACTGGTCCGCTGGAACTAGTCCACCGGAACTGTCTCGTCGGAACTAGTCTGCCGGAATTGTAGAGAGATTTCTTTGTTGTTGAAGAAAGAAAGAGAATATGAGAAAAGAAGAGAAAGAAAGAGATGAGAAGAAATAAAAGGAAAGAGAGAAAGTTTGAGTGAAGGATACAATTGTCATTTTAATTAGTTAAAGGTTTGTCATGTGGCATTTTAAAGAAGATTATATTGAAAGTGGCAATTCTTAGAAAAAATGACCATGTTCATGGCAGATAATATAATTTTCTCATTAATATTTATCATCGACATATCTAACACCCCCAGTTGGAAACCACATAATCTATTTGTATTATCAGAGAAATAAAAAAAATAGCCTTTGTTTGCCAAAAAAAAAAAAATAGCCTTTTTGGTGTACCATTAGAGAAGATTATATTGATAGTCACATTTCTCATAAGAAATGACCATGCTCATGGTAGAGAATATAATTTTCTCATTAATATTTATCATCAACATATTTAACACCCCCACTAGGAAACCACATAATCTATTTGTATTATCGGATAAATAAAAATATAGCCTTTTTGGTGTACCATTATTCAAAATTAATCAGTTAATCTGTCCATTTCTAAAACTGATCCTATTCAGATCTGAAAATTAATAAGGTTTCATAATATATGCTTTGATGATATTACTAGTCACCATTTGGACGCTTGATCCAATAATTCATAAAAGTTTTTTGTTTAAAAGTTAGTATAAAAGAATAAATACAATTTATCAGAGCCAGGTTTCGATCCTGGGACCTGTGGGTTATGGGCCCACCACGCTTCCGCTGCGCCACTCTGATTTGTTATAAGGTATTATAAAATTTTCCAACTTATTTTAATAAGGTATTTATAAGAATTAATTATATGAGATCTTACACATGTATAAAATTAATTTATGTATGCTTACATAGACATTTGTGTAGGACTGAGATCTTTTGAGGATTTTTTTCATAAGATTTTAGAGAGAAACAAAAATATTTCTTATCATTTTGCCATATTCACTTTTCTATTTCCCACTTCACATTTGTTATAACAAATGAAAACAGTTATATATATGTAGATACAATTATAAAGAATGATATAGTAAAGAGTGTATTACTAGAAAGGTAACTTTCTAGAAAGCATAAGCCAGAAAAGTAACAATATAAGAGTGTCGTGTTTCGGCACATATTTTGGCAAAAGATGACTAAACTAACCTAATAAAGTGAAATTAACCAACGAGGCGAGGATGTTAAGTAGTTTCAAATTTTAGTTACGTTAGGACGAGAGTTTTCGTTTCATTTGTTTTTGAATAGTTTTATGAAAGCGTAGTAAGTACGAGTGGTAGGAGAAGATAGGTGTTTGAACGTTTAGAGTGAACGGCAGAGAAACTGGTTGCGAAGAACCTTGATGATGGAGACAGGGGTATTGCAACATGCATCTTCCCCTTCTCTTCTCTTAAGCTTATCATATATGTAGACCTTCTAATTTTGTGAGATTTGATTAAATGGACAGGAACAGATGGATTATTTCACAATAGTGATTTGCGGGAGATGGCGATGAAGATCTAATGACAACCAAGTCATTGATGACGATGACGAACGATGCTCCTCACATTCTCAGAGATTTGTCCATCTACAAGTGAACGACTTGTTGAAGAAAAATGGACGTTACGATATATCCATCAACTTGTAAACATACCTTATGTGTAGGGATGTGTTCATCTACAAGTGAACAATTAGTAAAGGAAAAATGGATTGTGTCTATTAAGTAGAACCTATTAAGTAGATGTTCATTAATATAGAGGTGTATGTTGGTTAATTATGCATATATAGACACATGTGTGGATATATCCAGATGGACATAATAAATGAAACAAGAAAGAGGCACAAAAGAAAACAAAAAAGTATGAGAGTGAGATAATGCGACCAGATCGTATGTGGAGAAAGATCCCACATTGGAATATATGATGGGACTTAAGTAATATATAAAGGGTTAGAGCCAATCCACTCATTGCCAATTGGTTTTGAGTTGGAAGTCCATAACAAACCCTAATTTAACATGGTATCAGAGCTTTCGATCTTATTCTTATGAGTTAGGGTTTTTGTTTCCGATTCCATGGTTTTCATTTATTTTTTTTGATTTTTCCCTAAAAAAAAGAAAACAAAAAGAAAAAAAAAACGAGAAAAAAAAAGAAAAAGAAAGACGTGATCGGTAGGTAAATCACTTTTTTGGTTTGGCCATGTTTGGTTCTTAATTTCATATTAGCTAGCATAGTTGCTAGTTGGCGACAAGTTACGAGCCAATGACGGTTATAATATTTGTTATGATGGTCTTGAGTTCTTGACCATGACTCCAACGATGCTATGGAGATATGAAGATGATGATATCGCATACAGATACGATGCTAATCCTGCGGTGATGAATTTACCCAAGTTTTTTCATGAGCACGAAGTTCGGAGAACAATCATGACTTGTGATTTAAATTGATGGAAATACACAAAAGCTGTATTTTCCACTAATTCGACTGAACGACCGAGTATAAACGTCGATGATTTAACGGTTGGGTATTGTAGCCGCTTTGACCCTACGATCGGGTATAAACGTCGTTATTTATCCAACGGCCGGATGTTACAGCCGCTTTGACCCCACGACCGGGTATAAACGTCGATAATGACTCGACGGCCGAGTATAAAGCCGTTATTTTGAAGATTTGTCAAATCTTACACGTGTTACCACGTATGAGCTTGCAGGGGGTATTGGGAGATGGAGAACCGGAGATAGAACGAGATCGACGGTTGAGAAGACAAATTGAAGTTATGGAAATAAGAAGATATTATTCTAGAAGATATGTGATAAATAACAATATTAAGTTTAGGAAGATTAACATTATCTCTAGTTATATTATTTACATTTATGTTTATCATAATCTCTACATAAGAGAATGTAAGTTGTAACATTATATTCATGAGAGCCTAATACAATTCTTCCTTTAAACACTTTTGTGTTCTTTACTCTCATCAATTTATCAAATCGAGAGGGTTGATTGGGATAGAGTTTGACAGCGGAGAAGGAAATTGGCGGCGATGGTAAGAAGGGATTATGGATTTTATTTGATAGAAAATGAAGAAAATTGTAAGTTATAAAGTTGTGTCATATGGGAAGGAAGATGTCCATTGAGCATGATACCTTGTCTATAGGCTATTACGCATGGTTCATTAAGTAGAGTTCAATAATTAGATATCCATTATTAAAAATGTCAAAGTTGGTAGGTAGTGAACGGGTGGACATATCCACATGGACATAGTACGAAAGTGATCTAAAAATACGAAATGAACAAAAACAGATACAAGAACAAATACGAGAAGGAACTGAACATATTAACGATTTTATGAAGAGAAACTGAGTACTTATGTTTTATCTACAAAAAAACGAGTGACATAAGAGTAACGAAATAGACTTGACCGTAAAAAGAGGAAATAGATTCGACCGTCATCAAATACTATGTTTGAGAATATGACAGAAACAAAAATCAAGCGAACAAAAGAACAGAAAAACATAATATGTTTGAAAATATGAAATAGAAGAAGAGTGGCGAGGATGAAGAAGAACAAACAGTGGTAGGCGAGAGGGTGTTGTGTTTTGGTTACGATGGCAAATTAGAAATTATGGAAAATAATGAAGGCCATTTGTGCACAATATCTTTTGTAAATCATAGGCAAAAGACAAAGTTATTTTCTAGTGATTACTTTTCAAAAAGTGACTAAGAATGCTATTATCTGTATAATAAAAGTGAAATGTCAAGAAAATAGTGTTTCAGCATGATCTTCTTTTTTTCTCTTTTTAGCGATGAATAGTTTATCCACCAAATTTCTAATAAATCTAAATTCTAATTTCATTAAGTAGAGTTCAATAATTAGATATCCATTATTAAAAATGTCAAAGTTGGTAGGTAGTGAGCGGGTGGACATATCCACATAGACATAGTACGAAAGTGATCTAAAAATACGAAATGAACAAAAACAGATACGAGAACAAATACGAGAAGGAACTGAACATATTAACGATTTTATGAAGAGAAACTGAGTACTTGTGTTTTATGTACAAAAAATGAGTGACATAAGAATAACGAAATAGACTTGACCGTAAAAAGAGGAAATAGATTCGACCGTCATCAAATACTATGTTTGAGAATATGACAGAAACAAAAATCAAGCGAACAAAAGAACAGAAAAACATAATATGTTTGAAAATATGAATAGAAGAAGAGTGGCGAAGATGAAGAAGAAGAAACAGTGGTAGGCGAGAGGGTGTTGGTTTTGGTTACGATGGCAAATTAGAAATTATGGAAAATAATGAAGGCCATTTATGCACAATATCTTTTGTAAATCATAGGCAAAAGACAAAGTTATTTTCTAGTGATTACTTTTCAAAAAGTGACTAAGAATGCTATTATCTCGATTATAAAAGTGAAATGTCAAGAAAATAGTGTTTCAGCATGATCTTTTTTTTTCTATTTTTAGCGATGAATAGTTTATCCACCAAATTTCTAATAAATCTAAATTCAAATTTCATTAAGTAGAGTTCAATAATTAGATATCCATTATTAAAAATGTCAAAGTTGGTAGGTAGTGAACGGGTGGACATATCCACATGGACATAGTACGAAAGTGATCTAAAAATACGAAATGAACAAAAACAGATACGAGAACAAATACGAGAAGGAACTGAACATATTAACGATTTTATGAAGAGAAACTGAGTACTTGTGTTTTATCTACAAAAAACGAGTGACATAAGAGTAACGAAATAGACTTGACCGTAAAAAGAGGAAATAGATTCGACCGTCATCAAATACTATGTTTGAGAATATGACAGAAACAAAAATCAAGCGAACAAAAGAACAGAAAAACATAATATGTTTGAAAAAATGAAATAGAAGAAGAGTGGCGAGGATGAAGAAGAAGAAACAGTGGTAGGCGAGAGGGTGTTGGTTTTGGTTACGATGGCAAATTAGAAATTATGGATAATAATGAAGGCCATTTGTGCATAGTATCTTTTGTAAATCATAGGCAAAAAGACAAAGTTATTTTCTAGTGATTACTTTTCAAAAAGTGACTAAGAATGCTATTATCTCTATTATAAAAGTGAAATGTCAAGAAAATAGTGTTTCAGCATGATCTTTTTTTTCCTTCTATTTTTAGCGATGAATAGTTTATCCACCAAATTTTAAATAAATCTAAATCCTAATTTCATGATTTATTGTAGCTAGGCATGACCACGGTTACGTTTATCACGGTTACTGACTTAAGGATTATTAGCCAGCAGTTACGGTTATAAAATTTCTTTAACCATAACCTTAACCTTTATATATACGGTTAAAACGGCTACGGTTATATATAGTTATGGCTAAATATGGATTCAGTTACTTGATTATTATGATATAGTTAATATCATAGGAAATTTTATACTTTCTTAACATATAAGATAATATTTATTTTACAATATGAAATATATAATGTATTATATGATTCAATATTTATAGTGAATTAGTTAAATAAATGGGTTTTTTAATCAAACACAACTATAAATTAATTAATTAATAGTTCTGAACCTACAAATAACTAAACTAATTTTTTTATTTGATTAATAGAAATGAGTTGTGGAGTAGATTAAATTGACAAGTTGACACAAACTATTTAAAACATTGTTTTAATGGAATAAAATTTATTTTAAAAGTTTAACCGTACGGTTAATTATGTGATTAACTGAATGTTTTGATACGGTTATGATTAATAACAGTTACGATTAATATTTTTTTATAACCGTGACTAATTTATTTTGACAGTTAACGGCTACGGTTTTTTAACCATTTATACAGTTACGATTGAATAACAGCCCCGTTAAAATCATAATTACGGTTACAATTAGGTTTTGGTCATGCCTACTTGTAACGACGACTAACATGATCTCTCGTCCACATGGTTTTTCATAACCGACTGCTTCTTTAATAGTCGTACTACTGAGCTGAATTTCTTCTCTTTAATATGGCTGCTTAAATCTTATCTATACAACATATTCGTTTGGAGGAAAGTCAATCTTATCTATATTCTTCTATCTAGAGATAGTAACACAACTTTAAATAATGAGAAGCATATAATATACATCGTTGTATTAAATATGATCTAGTGACAAATCAAGTTGGTTATTGTAGGCTTTGTAGCATTGGCATTTTTGTATACGATAATTTTGGTACTCATTGGATGTCAATAAATTGGCCATCAAGTTAGATTAAGGCCCCATGCTTCAATCAAAGTAAGTTAGGAGGATTTCAAAACAAGACTTTGCTTAGTTTCTAACATATATAATTCTTACCAAATTGTTCAAAAGAATATTATGTACAATACTTCCAGAAAAAGAGACTCAAACTTAGTCTGCCTCGAGCTGCAGGAACCTGGACCAAACTAGGAACAAAGGTACAGTGCAAAGGCCAACGACTAACCACATCATCTAAACAAGTTTTACTGATCAACTTATCATCCTCCAAAAGATAGATCCAAGCCTGACCATTGTTGTCACAAGAACACACCGCGAGCCTCTTACCTTCGATGAAATAACTTGGCTGAGAGAAGCGTACAGTCTCTACTAAATCCGGCAACTTAGGACTTGAAAAAGACATATAATTCATCCAACCCACATTACTACCATCCTCAGAGTTAATCTTGTCCTTGGTCACCCAAATATCAATCTTCTTTGTGACAATGCATTGCTTTAGCAACGAAAACCAATCTCCCCTAAAGACCCTAAGGACAAGAGCATCCGCATCATGGTTTCTCCCGCAAGGTAGATTACAAAAATAATACATTATTTTTCTTGAAAAATCGAATTTACTAATGTGGTAGCCCAAGGGATCGGTCTTGTTACTAAAATAAACCCAATACAAAGTTCCATTTAAGGATACAGCAGTTTCAACACTAACAAGGTTTACGCTACTACTAATTCTTGACTTGTATTCTACCCACTTATCTAAGGAAAAGTCATAGGTTGTCCAAATTTCATTAGTATCTCTATAGGAAAAAACAACCATCTTGTATTTCTTATTGTTGCATACTATGCCGTTGAATACCATAAGAGAATCTATTACCCTCGGTTGGATCCATATACTTTGTCCTAACCAAGGGTTCCAAACAACAACTCCTCTCTCCTTGCGACATAGCAACAAATCATTGCAATCAACAAAGCTTTGAAATTTCAAAGGGTATGATCTTAAACCGGGTGTGCCTAAGGGTAACTCACGTACCACTACCACAGGATCGATGCTTACAGAATAAATCTTGCGTTTGGTTGCTATGATGAACCTAAACGTCTTCTTGTGATTGTTCATGAACCTCTTGTCCTCGAAAAGAGCGTTCCATTGCTTCGATACGGCTCTGAAGCGAACGAGAGCTTTGGGTGGCACACGAGAGAGTATCTCTTCGATCAGCTCCCATGGAAGATTCTTCAAATGCGCCATCTCTTTACCTAACTTAGGGTTTTCGTTGATTCCCTATATATATTTAAGTTTCTATCTTATATATAACAAATATTATCATTACATTTGTTAAATATTTATATGATGAACAAACAATAATAAAATTCATCAAAGCAAAAATAATATTTATACTTACGTCCGCCGTTAACAAAACCATATATTACTTCGTTTTATTGTTATTTAGATTTGTTTAAGATACCATATCTTTATTTACAACAAGAAAGCTCCTAAATAAATATATCCAAAACATGTTTAGATCACATTAGTTTTTTTTTTTTTTGAATAACTTAAAGGTTCTGAGCCAAATCCATACATCCTCTTAGACCCGTAATCAGAGTAGGTAATATAATCTCGTCCCAAGTATTACTCGAACCGATAACCTCTAAATATTACTTTACTAATTGAGCTATTATCACTTCATCTAAATTAGGGTTTTCGTTTTGTTTCTATCTTCTATTTGAAAAAAAACATAACATTGTATTATGTTAAATATTTTATCAAAGGAAAAATGTGTAGGTAATTAATTACTTTCGTCCGATCTAGTTTCGTTCACAAAACCATGTAGTATTATTTACGTTTTATTTAGTTATTATTATTTAGATATTGTTTGAGATATAATATCTTAACAAGAAAATTTGGAAAGGTGTTATTTGTTCGTGATTTAAACAGTTTTTAAATGATATAAATATGTTTGTTTTCATTGGGTTTGCAGAAAAATATACGTAACTATATATATCAAAATGGCCAAATAATGTATCGTTGTATTAAATATGATCTAGTGACAAATCGATTTAGTTATTGTAGAGTAGGCATTTTTGTATACGATAATTTTGGTACACAATGGACGTCAACAAATTGGCCATCAAGTTAGATTCATTGATATTGTGATTCGTAGACGGATCAACGAAACCCTAAGTTAGGTAAAGAGATGAGACACATATTTAGTACATATTACATATAGATTTTGTTTCTGAGAAATGCCCCTTTTGGTTTACCTTTTTCTAAAAATACCCCTCTTTTCTATCTATTTTCAAAAATATCTCTTTTCAAATATGAAAATTATAAACTTTTACATGGTTGGTAAGGTACATCAAGATCATCGTGACTACTGTGAGACTAAATTCACATATTTATAAGGTTTTAAAAGGTTATAAACGGCATTTGTATGGTTTTTATAAGGTTTTTATAAGGTTTTTAAATGATTTTTAAAAGATATTTATGAAATATATATGTAAATTTACACACATATAAAGATAGTTTGTGTCTTTAAATATATAGTTTTTTGATAAATTTCAAAATTTATAGTGATTTTTTAATAAAATTAGAAAGAGTGATATTTTTAAAAAGTGCTATTGGAAAAGGGGTAGTATTGAAATACCCCATCAATATTCAAGAGGATAAAGAACAACATAATAGTCATATTTCACTAAATGTTTTACATGTATATAGATATATATATATATATATATATTAATAATTTTTTTTTTTCCTCAAATATTAATAATATTTATATAATTATTGATTTTATAGTATCAATGGACCATATATTTACAAATTATTTTCTAAAAATATATTATATTTTTATTTTATTAACATCTATATAAAATTACATTGATCCCAACTTGAGACCGGGGTTATTAATTTATAAAAATAATTAATCTATAGAGGTTTTACTGTATGTTATATCTAACCGTTATCTATCATATACACCTGTGAAACTTCTTAAAAACATAAAAGCATATGAAATATACGTATGAGAATAAACTAAAACAATGTTATTTGAATTAAAAAAAATTATAGAATTTACAAGCTTATGTGAGATTTGAGATATGAGGGTTAGTGAGATGTGTGTTGCTATTTGTAGTTAAAACAAAGAGAGTAAAAAATAGTAAAAAAGTCTCTAGTTTAAGCAAAGAAAATCGATGGTAGTGAATATAAATACAAAAACTCAAATCAAATTCTAATCAAGAACCAAACATGTAATAAAACTAAACTTGTAACTGCACCAGTTCTTCTCTTTCGCCTCAAGGAGGAACCGGTATCAAACTGGGAACAAAGGTACAATGCATAGGCCAAGGATCAACAACATCATCTAAACGAGTTTTACTGATCAACTTAGCATCCTCCAAAAGATAGATCCAAGCCTGACCATTGTTGTCACAAGAACACACCACGAGCCTCATACCTTGGATGTAATAACTTGGCTGATAGTAGCCTACGTTCGCTGATAAATCCGGCAAATTAGGACTTGAAAAACTCATGAAATTCATCCAAACCACATTACCACCATCCTCAGAGTTAATCTTGTCCTTGGTCACCCAAATATCAATCTTCTTTGTGACAATGCATTGCTTTAACAAAGCAAACCGATCTCCCATAAAGACTCTAAGGACAAGAGCATCCGCGTCATGGTTTCTCCCGCAAGGTAGATTACAAAATCTATTCCATATTTCGCTCCAAAAGTCGAATTTAAAAATGTTGTAGCACAAGGGATCGGTCTTGTTACGAAAACAAACCCAATACAAAGTTCTATTTAAGGATACAGCAGTTTCAGAACTAACAGTGTTTATGCTAATACTACTCTTACCAGTTTTTCTCTTGTAGTCTATCCAAACATCTGAGTAAAAGTCATAAGTTGTCCACAAGTCATCAATGTGATCTTCCTTCGCAGGGGAAAAAGCAACCATCTTGTATTTCTTATTATTGCATACTATGCCATCAAATACCATACTTTGTCCTAAATGTTTTAAACTCGACTCGATCCATCTACTTTGTCCTAGCCATGGGTTCAAAACAACGGCTCCTCTCTCCTTGCCACATAACAACAATTCATTGCAATCAACCAACTTTTGAAGTTCCAAAGATTCTAAACCAGGTGTGCCTAAGGGTAACTCACGTACCACAATCACAGGATCGATGCTTACCGAATAAATCTTGGATTCAGTTGCTATGATGAACCTAAACGTCATCTTGTGGTTGTTCATGAACCTCTTGTCGTCGAAAAGAGCGTTCCATTGCTTAGATACGGCTCTGAATCGGACAAGAACTTTAGGTGGCACACGAGAGAGTATCTCTTCTATCAGCTCCCAAGGAAGATTCTTCAAATGCGCCATCTCTTTACCTAACTTAGGGTTTTCGTTGATTCCCTATATATATTTAAGTTTCTATCTTATATATAACAAATATTATCATTACATTTGTTAAATATTTATATGATGAACAAACAATAATAAAATTCATCAAAGCAAAAATAATATTTATACTTACGTCCGCCGTTAACAAAACCATATATTACTTCGTTTTATTGTTATTTAGATTTGTTTAAGATACCATATCTTTATTTACAACAAGAAATCTCCTAAATAAATATATCCAAAACATGTTTAGATCACATTAGTTTTTTTTTTTTAAATAACTTAAAGATTCTGAGCCAAATCCATACATTCTCTTAGGCCTGAAAACAGAGTAGGTAATATAATCTCGTCCCAAGTACTGATGATACATTTTTTGTTATTGTACTGATGATACATTTTTAAGTCCGGACACGTTAAAAATGATCGCGGATCGTGACTTCTTCATTCCAAAACTTGACATATAACTTCACTGACCCACACTTACCTCACAACTTGCTAAATCGATCGATGAATAAATCGTCTTTAAATAACGACAAAATATATTAATCGTTTTATGTATTTACATATATGAACTAGTGACCAATTGTTTTGTTTAGTCGCTATCTACCGACACTGCGACACACAAACACGTGTAGATGTGTAGATGATAGTTGTACATTAAAATTCCAACTATTAGTAAAACATAATGGGATAAACTGTTTAGTCAAAAATTAGAGAATTTCATCAAATTAAAATGATTAAAAACAATAAAATCAAATTAAATTTCACGTAATTTGTTCTATGACAAATATATAAACTCGCACATATGCATGTATTGACCCTATTATTAATAGAAGTGAAATAGATGGATATGTACAGTACTTGTACTACATTTATAATGTGTAATTATGTGGGAATATAATAGTCAAATACTTTTTGTGTGAAGATTTTATACTAACATTAAGATTGTGGTTTTTCTAAAATGAAATAAAAATCTAGAGAAGAAGAGGCATAGCATAACTAACAAAAAATATTAAAATGTTTAATACTCTTAAAGACCATATAGGTACCCCATGCTAATAAGGAGATTATAGAGAAAAAGATAGAAATTATGTTGTCGCATGTATTTATGCTATTGAATCATTAGAAGGTTATGGAATCATTAGAAGGTTATGGAAGCAGTAACTTCTTCTCTATACTTTGTGGATCCTACAAACATCGCCAAGTCGCATCCATGAAAGTTTTGCGTTATCGCTGAAAACTGCAGTAAACAATGACTCAATATACGTGTTTGGAAGGTGTGATAGTTCAAATCAAAATTTCTTAGAGGTCTTTGACCAAACCATAAACTCATGGAATAGAGTTGGTGTGCTTGAACAATTCAGAAACATACATTAATTTTCTTTGCCAAACTATTGTCTTGAGTGGAATGGCCATTTTCCTCTACAACCACGAGAATTGTTGCACTGTTTTTGATCCAAACATGGGATGTCTTTCTCGAAGGGGTGAATATGCTATGGGCGATATGTTGTATAACACATAATGTGTAATTAATAACCAACTCTTCGCATTTGGGGCCAGTTGCAAGATTGAATATTTTGATTCACAAGTCAGGACATGAAAACTGGTGAAAGGTTTACCAGCTTTTGACATTTTGAATCCTGGCATGTTTAACCTCAATGGAAAAATCCTCTTCATAATGCAGCAGCGACCTAACGTGATTTCTTTCACTTTTCTAACCTTGCAAATGTGGGAGCTTGAGATGTGGGGCACTGTCGAATCTTGGAACGATCTTGTTCAGAAGCATCCAACAACTATTGATGCAGTCGTCAGTGTAGAAACAGGAGAGGTAGTATATATCAGATTAAGATATACTACAAGAAAACATAGGATATTCCGACGACGGATATAGTCGGAAATTAGTCGGAAATAAGTTGAACACTTTTCCGAGTAATTTCCGACGACATTCGACGTAAATTAGTCGGAAATTATTTTAAATTTTGTCGGAAATTTGTCGGAGAACTGCGCAATTATTTTCAACTTTTCCGACAAAGTTTCCGACGAGATATTGTCGGAATTTAGTCGGAAATAAGTTGAACTCTTTTCCGAGTAATTTCCGACGACATTCGACGGAATATTGTCGGAAAATTCGTCGGAAAATTGTCGAAATAACACACGTGTACTTTGCAACTTTTTCCGACGGATTTCCGACTACATACGTCCGACGAAATTCCGACGAATTGTTTCCTCGTACAATTATTGTGTTTCCGACGACATTTTTCCTTCGACTTTCCGACGACCCTTTTTCGTCGGAAATTTATTCAATTTTCCGACGAGTTTCCGACTAAATTTCCGTCGTCGGGTAGTAGTCGGAAGTTAGTCGGACATTAGTCGCAAATTTTCCGACCAATTGTTTCGTCGGAATTGGTCGTCGGAATTCCTTATGTTTTCTTGTAGTGATATAGTTGTAGTCCATGTGCTACAAACTAAAGAGCATATTCATTCTAATTCTCTCTCATTTCTTATATGTACCTTCAAAATTCTTAATAGCTGTCTCTAGGATTTTATGGTTTTATCCATGGTCTTTGTTCCCTGATATTATTGCAAAACAAATAATTGTTTAGGACAAAAAACAAAAATTACTTTGTAAGGTTGGTTTTATCTATATGTGAAAGCATGTTTTACCTTAAGATCATGTAGAGCATCATATAAATTATTATTAAACTTAAAGATACTCATAAACTTAAATATATAAATGTCTCCGGGAAGACACAAACTCATATTTTTTATATCGTTTTAATATTTAAAGACACTCACTTTTGATGAACAATGTGGATGGTTAACAGCCATTGGCCTATGACGCCAGGATTTGTGATTGACATGTTGTAGTGAGCTGACGAAACAAGATAACATTACTAAAAATAAAATCTGTCAACATCATCAAATTTGCAGAAAAAGAAAGTGGAAATCATCAAAATGAGCCAAGTATAGTTACTGACCTAAACTAACTTGTCTGTACCGACCATCACACTAGCATGTTACTATGGATTGACACAATCTAGACAATACATATGTTTCTTCAGTGTCAAAACACAGAAGAAAATAAGAAAAAAAAAACATTAGGAAAAGGTAAAATGTTAACAGTAATTGACATAGCAGGAACTATTAAAGATCTGAAAAGTAGGATCTCATCTAAATTAACATTTTTGCAGCATTTTCTGAAAAAACCTTGGAATTGGAAGTTATTTACAAGGCTATACCATTGCATTAATTATTTAGTTAAAATTTTAAAAACTAATGATAATCATTTTTAACAAAATCCCTAAAATATCTCCTTAATAAATATAATATCATTTCAACTCCAATGTTTAAACTCCAATATAAAGAACAGCAGAATTTTTAAACTCCAATGTACACATTTGTTTTTTTTTTGGGTTTGCAGAAAAATATATGAAAATGGTGTAACGACGACTATATATGCACTTCTTGAATATGGCTGATTTGAGCCCTCTTAAATCTTATCTATTCTGCTAGTGATATCTACTAGTGATAATAAAACTTAATCGTAGTATTATACAAGATAGTGACAATTCCATTGGTTGCTGTATACCAACACATGTGTAGCATTGACATATATTTACAATAGTTAGTTGTATGTTTGAAACTTACTGTGTTTGCTTAGTAGCTAATCTGTTCGTACCAGGTTGAGCTGATCTTATTACGGATCTATTTGGAGTGTTTCGCTCCAAGAAGTTTTCTTGACATAGATTGACCAGATTAAATCTTATCTATATACTGCTATCTAGGGTTAGTAATACAACTTTAATAAAATATCATTGTATTAAAAATGTTCTAGTGAAAAATGGAATTGGTTATTGTATCATAGGCATTTTTGTATACGATAATTTTGGTGCACATGTAACACCATCACCTACAAGGATGCCAACAAATAGGCCATCAAGTTAGATTCATAAGCGGATTAAGGCTCCGTGCTACATCGAAGCAAGTAAGTATGCAAAGAACATGGTAGTGAATAAAAACACCAAAACTCAAATCAACTTTAGCTTTCTCTATAACGTACCAAACCAGAAGCAAACATGTAATAAAACTAAACTTGTAATTGCACCAGTTTTTTTCTCTCGTCTCGAGCAGGAACCTGGACCAAACTGGGAACAAAGGTACAGTGCAAAGGCCAACGACTAACCACATCGTCTAAACAAGTTTTACTGATCAACTTATCATCCTCCAAAAGATAGATCCAAGCCTGACCATTGTTGTCACAAGAACACACCGCGAGCCTCTTACCTTCGATGAAATAACTTGGCTGAGAGAAGCGTACAGTCTCTACTAAAGCCGGCAAGTTAGGACTTGAAAAAGACATATAATTCATCCAACCCACATTACTACCATCCTCAGAGTTAATCTTGTCCTTGGTCACCCAAATATCAATCTTCTTTGTGACAATGCATTGTTTTAGCAACGAAAACCGATCTTCCCTAAAGACCCTAAGAACAAGAGCATCCGCATCATGGTTTCTCCCGCAAGGTAGATTACAAAAATTTTCCAATTCTTCGCTCGAAAAATTGAATTTAGAAATGTCGTAGCACAAGGGATCGGTCTTGTTACTAAAACAAACCCAATACAAAGTTCCATTTAAGGATACAGCAGTTTCAACACTAACATCGTTTTCGCTACCATGACTAGTTGTTGAGTTGTAGTCTATCCACACATCTAAGGAAAAGTCATAGGTTGTCCAAATTTCATCACTATAATCATAAGTATAGGAAAAAACAACCATCTTGTATTTCTTATTGTCGCATACTATGCCGTCGAATTCCATATGAGAATCTGTTACATTCGACCCAATCCATCTACTTTGTCCTAACCAAGGGTTCCAAACAACGGCTCCTCTCTCTTTGCGACATAGCAACAAGTCATTGCAATCAACCAAACTTTCAAATTTCAAAGGGTAAGATCTTAAACCAGGTGTGCCTAAGGGT